CCAGGTGCCGCCCCAAGCACAAGCGTGGTGGGCTGGTGCCTGGAGCCGGCCCTGCCAGTTCCTTCTTGCTGCTGCATGGTCTGGGTTGGAACTGTTAGTGTCCTCTTTTGCGTGTAATGCACTTAAAAAATATACAGTTGTACACAGCTAGTTTTAGAGTGGTTTATTGTTTTTATGGTGGTTTTATAGTTTTAAGAGTAGAATTGGGGTTTTGAGGGGGAGTTTTGCTCAGCGTGAGTCATTTCTCTCTCTTTCTCTCCCCCTTCCCCTCGCGTCCCCCGTCCCCCCCCATGCAGGTACTGGATTATGCGGAAACCTGCTTTAAAATATGTGCCTCCTGCCTGTGTTCCTTCTCAGTTCAAGCCTCCAGACAATTTAGTGGAGGACTGTAAATGACACAAGTGATAAAATTAAAGACTTTGCTCAACTAACTATTTCATATAAAATAAACGGGCTTCACTATGTAACCATTCACTGCATTTATACTCCTGTTCTAAGGTGAAACGATCCATCCTGAGGTGATCAGTCCCTGAATGAGAAGAATGGGTATAAACCTTTCTCTGCTGGATGGGTGTGCCTATCTAAAATCAGTGTAGTATTCTTTTTATAATCAATTATAACAACAGTTTAATTAGCATTAAATCCACCTTTTTTTTACCATAATTAAATATTTTCTATTTTCTCATTGGCTATTTAACATTAAATACTTTAATTAGCATCGGAATAAAAACATATCAATAACTTTCAATGTAACATTTTCCAAAATATTAGCATTTTATTAAAAACAAGTAAGGGCCAAAATATGTTTACAACATGACCTGGGGTTATTTCCTAACTTATCTCCAACTTGCTTCTAAGCTGTCTCACTTATTTCACCCAGCATTAGTCCTCACTGTTGTCAAGCCCCAAACTTAGGCCCAACAACATGTTCTTCACTTATATTTTTAGCACATTTCTATTTCAGAAAAACAAACATCACTTCGATAAGCTACACATCTCTAAATTTTGAATGTTGCTATTGTGACATGAACTAAGCTTTTGATTTTCCTCATTTTAAAAAACTGAACAAAAAAAAAAGGGTAGAGAATATTTTTACCACTTCCCAGCACTCCTTTGCACAGGTGTGATTCCACATGTTCACAGACACCAGATTTATTTTCAGAATTAATTTTAAAATAGTTTGCTTTTTTGAAATGTATTTGTAAAAGAGGAAATGACCAACTGCTGACAGCTTTGTCGAAGTTTTTCTTTTAACTCAGTACATCCAGAAAAAAAAATGTAAGTAGCATTTTAGGCCTAACTTTTCAGAAGTGATTAGTGACTTTCTAGTCACTTTTGAATATTAGGCCTTAGGGAGCTGTTCTAAGGAAAGGATGAGAATCTTTTTAAAATGTCCATGTTGAAAACACACTTGGCAGAAACTGCCTGCCTTGTAAGTTTAATAACACATGTCCACACTTCCATTGCAGAACTTCTTCCTTCATCTGTTAAACAGTCAAGCAAACATATAACTGCAGTCCTCAAACATGATGCACATTGACCAGATGGATACACTAGCTGAAATTTCTGAATGTTTGCTTGGCTGCATAACTGATGCTGGAGGTACACTCTGCAACAATGAAGTGATTACACATTTCATTAACTTTCCAAGGCCTGTGTTTTTGCCATTAACATCTTGAATGGATTTCTAAAGTACTGAAGAATATATATATCTATATCTATATCAAACTGAAAAAAAAATTGTCACTCTGCCTATAAATCCTATTATGCCAGTCACTTAGTGCTCCCTGTGACTGGAAGATGGGACAATTGCAAAGCAAGGAGACTATTTTTAGTTAATAATAATGACCTTTCTTTTAAATAGCAAACTAATGCAGCAAAACTTCATGGCAGAAGTGTGTGTTGCTTTTAAGTAAGGCTATATTTGTCAGAGGAGGGACCAGTGATTCTCAGCAGGTTCATTTTGCAATAAGCATCCACATTTCCCCTAATTATTTTCCTCACATGGACCACATCTTCATAGAGAGTTTGTCCTGTAAACCACTTCCCCATCCATTCATAATCTCCTAACATCCCTGTGGCAACTACACTACAATTTTATATAGGAATTAGGAAAGCAATACTAGAAAAATATTTCTGAACTGCTAGCTGTCTTTTAATATAAATGTAATGGGTTTGTTTTGTTTGTTTTTAAGGTGGAAAAGATTCGTCAAGTTAAAGCCAAGTCCCTTTACCTGCAAGTTGAAAAGTTGCGTCAGAATCTAAATAAACTGGACAACACTATTAGTGCAGTTCAGCAGGTCCTAGAGGAGGGTCGTAGCATGGATATTCTCCTGGCTCGGGATCGCATGCTGGCTCAAGTGCAGGAACTGAAGAATGTGAGAGGCCTTCTACAGCCGCAGGAGGATGACAGAGTCATGTTCACTCCTCCTGACCAGGCTCTGTATATGGCCATTAAATCAATGGGGTTTGTCAGCAGTGGGGCCTTTGCTCCTCTGACCAAAGCCACTGGGGAAGGTCTCAAACGTGCACTACAGGGCAAAGCGGCCTCCTTCACAGTGATAGGCTATGACCATGATGGTGAACCACGCCTTTCAGGGGGCGATATGATCTCTGCAGTGGTGATGGGCCCTGATGGAAACCTATTTGGTGCAGATGTCAATGATCAGCAGAATGGAACCTACCTGGTCAGTTACAGACCACAGCTGGAGGGAGAGCATCTAGTCTCTGTCATGATGTGCAACCAGCACATAGAGAACAGTCCGTTCAAGGTCATGGTAAAATCTGGGCGCAGTTACATTGGCATTGGACTACCAGGGCTTTCATTTGGCAGCGAGGGAGACAACGATGGCAAGCTCTGTCGCCCCTGGGGAGTTTGCGTAGACAAGGAAGGGTACATCATGGTTGCTGATCGCAGTAATAACCGCATTCAGGTGTTTAAGCCCTGTGGCACCTTTCACCACAAATTTGGCACCTTGGGTTCCAGACCTGGTCAGTTCGATCGCCCTGCTGGTGTTGCCTGTGATATCTCGCGTAGGATTGTCGTGGCTGACAAGGATAATCATCGCATCCAGATCTTTACATTTGATGGGCAGTTCATTCTGAAATTCGGGGAAAAGGGAACCAAGAATGGGCAATTCAATTACCCATGGGATGTGGCAGTCAATGCCGAGGGCAAAATCCTGGTCTCTGACACGAGGAACCATCGGATTCAACTGTTTGGACCTGATGGTGTGTTTCTGAATAAATATGGCTTCGAAGGGGCACTCTGGAAGCACTTTGATTCTCCAAGGGGTGTGACTTTCAATCATGAAGGCCATCTGGTAGTGACAGATTTCAACAACCATCGCCTCCTGGTCATCCATCCAGATTGCCAGTCAGCACGCTTCCTTGGGTCAGAAGGCACCAGCAATGGCCAGTTCCTGCGCCCACAAGGCGTGGCTGTGGATCAAGAAGGGCGCATCATTGTGGCCGATTCTAGGAACCACCGAGTGCAGATATTTGAGTCAAATGGTAGTTTTTTATGCAAATTTGGCACTCAGGGAAGTGGCTTTGGTCAGATGGACCGACCTTCAGGTATAGCTGTCACCCCTGATGGCATGATTGTTGTGGTTGACTTCGGAAACAATCGAATTCTCGTCTTCTAATCTGTGTTTTCTGAATTAGGAAGAAACTGTCTCAGGGAAATTCTTTTTAAGAGAACGAAAAAATACAACGTTAATTCAAACCTACCTCATCTTTAATTTTTTACAGATGAATGTACTTATCTTTTCTGCAGGGAGTGATCCTGTAAAGTTATAAATTCTATCTACCTCATTATCTTTGTGTTCTCCCTCTCTCTCCTCCTCTTCTCCCCCCCCCCGCCCCCCAGCAGTAAGTTTTACCTCTTCCCCACATGGGGCATCATGCACAAACATGTGTTGCTGTGCACATTAGGTGGTTGCGTGATGAATTCTGTAGACGAAGCCAAAAAGGCGCTCTATAATTTTTTTAAATGGGGGGGGGAATTAGTAGCATTAGATATTTGTAGAAGATTTGTGTTCTTGATCGTACTGTGGTTTTTGCGGGGGGGAGGGTTTGGGGTTTTTTTGTTTTGTTTTTGTTTTTTTAAATGCTGCTGCAGCAGAGAACTTTTTCCTGTTCTCCTTTTTATACCTCATTGTGTTTGATTTATTGTTCAACATAGTGTCTTGTTCCCAGAAGACTTTGATCTTTTTGTGGAAGTGGGTGGGGTTCACTAGTCAGGAAAAGCAAGTTTGCTTTTTTGCATATGTGTTTTGAAAAATGCAGTAATCCTACAGCACAAAGTGAAGCCCCTGTGAAAATGCACAAATTTCTTGGGGAGGGGGGAAGTCATTTTTGGTGACTTAGTGTAGTTGTCATAAAAAGTTTAATGAAAAAAGCAGGACTTTCTGTAATGTGTTCTCTATTCTATAATTTCTTTATAGCCTTTTGTCTGATTATTAGTCACATTTTAAAAACAAGGTTCCATTCTTCCTTCCATTGTATGTATGTCACTGTTATGTGTATCGATGCCTGTTACAAGGAGCATCAAAACAGGGAAGAATTGAACCCTGGAGTTAAAATTTGTTTCATGTGAAATGGCTGTGGGGGTTTTTTTTGTTTTGTTCCCATAAAGGCTTTAGTTAGGGGAGTAAAGAAAGATTAATAGGTTTGTCAGGACAAAGTAAATTTTCCCAAAAATAAACAATAAAGCACAACTTTGGAAATTCAGGGTGCATTTCAGAGAAGTCCACATTTTTAAAAAATCAGATCACAAAACCAGTCAGTGACATCAGCTGAACTTTTTGTTTTCTTTTTCCTTCATCCCTCCCCTAAAAAAAAAAAAAAGTTAGGATTGAAAGGTTCGAAGAACATTTTTTAATGTACGGGCATTCTTAATGGCCCCTGGTGAAAGGTAGCCAGCATGAGGCAAAATGGAGCCATATAAAAGCTCTGCATCGTCATTCCATGGCATCACCGAAAAACTGCATTTAAAATGGTGACAGCATCTAAAAACTATACTAGCCAGATTCTTTAAACTCTAAACTGCAAAATTTAGCTCCAATGGGGATAGGAATTTCTTGTTTTTCTGAGCAGCTGAGATTTTGAGGAGGGGCTTTGGTTACCAAGCCATGGGAATTTGATTCCTTAGTGGATTACAGTCCACATTTCAATAGCTTGCATCTTAATATGTTAGCTATTGATGTTGACATGGACTCTTGAGAAATTGCCTTGCCTTCTGGATAGGACTGGTATTGGCAAACCATAAAGGCTAATATAGGGGGTGGAGAGTTTTTGCACTATGCAGAAATTGAAGAGTTCATGCATCAATTAGTTTTTTTTCCCCCTCTGCAGTGGTGTAAAATTAGTGTTATCAATTCCAGCAAGAGAAGAGCCCTGATTGAGAAGCAAGGTTATTAACTAAAAGGCTGAAGGAGAAAGGGTTCATCTCTTCCCCCCAGCCACCACATACACAAGCAATCTGAAAAATTGAAGGACTCTTTTCATATTAATAAGAAATTTCAAGGTGCACTTTCACTTGCTTCCACTGCTTTCCCTATTACTATAACATTTCCAAGAAATTCATTTCCTGTTTTTAGAAATTCTAATCATTGTTCAGGCTTATGACAGCAGCCACTTAGGAAGGTGAGGATTTTAAGAGGTGGACAATGAAGAGGGAGGCAGTGAGATCACAAGAACCCTTTTAAAACAGAAAAACCTCTAAATTACACAGGATAATGTAACTGTGCTACTTTCAGCTAACACCTCATGAAGCAAATGCTCAGCAGTGGGTATCGGCTGGGCTTAATTTTAGGGATAGTGTTGTTGTTTTAAAACAAAATCCAAGATAATCTTTTAGAGAGATCGGTCATTAAACTTGTATATGGCTCTTCAGAATTCGTGTGTAATAGAAAGCAAATTACTCCTTTTAGCTTTTGCAGCCCACTTTCCTTCCTTTTGTGGTAGCCTATGGAAGTTGATATTGTTTGTTTGTGTGTTTTTCTGTGTTTTTCACTGAGAGATTTGTAACTTGGCTGTGAAAACAAATTAGACTCAGAGACCCAGATACCAAAGATAACCGGTTGAAAGCTTTAATTTGACAATTTGCAGAATCCTTCCATTTCACCTCTTTGTCTTATTAAAAATGCTTGGCCTTTTTACCTTGACCTTTGTGGTTGCCACTGCTGGATTATGTCAGAAAAGCTATTATGCTTAATGCTTGTTGATGTTGCCCTTTTGTATTTTCTGTTCTCCCTGCGTGCCCCCCTCCCCATCCCCCAGGCATTTTTTTTTAAAGTATTTAGCTGCTCCTGGCATGCTTTGAGTTGAATTGCAGAAAAATTCTTCTTGTTTATCTCCATCACTATATAGTATAGAGATGTGAAGGCTGGTGGAATTTCCATTGACCTTCACCATGTCATATTATGTTGCTGCACAAGACTGGGGAAGGCCACACGCCTGTCTTTATTTGGGGGAGGCACAATGTCTTCCTTTACAGTTGCTGTTTACTTAATTTACTGGATCTGCTTACAGCTCAAACAAGACTATTTGACTTCAAAGTGTTTCACATCACGTTGGGAGGCTTTTGTTTAAAAAAAAAAAAAAAAGGCTGTGTGGCTACCCAAATGATTTCCTATACTGTTACTGTAATAGATAGTGCTAAGCACACTTGCTCTTATTGAAAAATATTAGTGTAGCTTATAAAATGGAGTGCTTATAATGCAATGAGAGTAAGTAGTGTAATATTATAGGAAAAGTTTAATGCCAACATCATATGCCCCATAGGGGCTTGTTTATTTGGTATGTAATTGGTAGGATTTCAAATCTGGCTCAACGTTTGTTCTATGTATGTTCATGGACAATTGTTGGATAATCCTTCCACTGTCCTGATACATGTAGAAAATAGGGGAATAGACATACAGGACAGGAGTGTAGGAAAGGTAAGCAAAGGTCTGACACTGGGTTGCAAACTCCTGAATTTTCTTAAACTGTTCAGTATAATCTCCTGAACTGGTGGTAGTGGATTAGGGGAAGGAGAAGGTTGGTTATCTCTTCACCCCCACCTCCAGTCTCTAGCTTTGGAGAAGAATAACAGATTTGGATCTACAGACTTGTGCATTGAATGCTCCCAAAGGAATTTAACTGTGCCAGGTTAAATCAATGTTGGCTGTCAGTAAATTTTCGCTTTGTGAAATGTTATCATCAGTTAACTCTCATCATCTCCTAATTCAGCCATATGAAGCAGTCCTGTTATTTCAAAACTGTTTTAGTGAGAGTTTCAGTGATGTCCTGGCTGAGGGCTTATGAGGCAGCCATGGTGCTAGATGATGCAGTACCCTCCGGTAAGTCACTCCTTTAATTTGTACCCTTTAAGTATAACTTATATGGGGAAGCCCACAAGTGCATACCATAAAGAGGGAAAAACCTAAAATTTAGTGTATATGAGGGCCAAAAATAATCAAGTTGGAAACAGAAGAAGGCACTTCGTTGTGGCATTCCATTGGAATTGCTGGCGATCGACTCAGTCTGTTTAGTTATAGTTGAGCCAAATTAATTTATTTCAAGAGCAGTCTTTAGGCTTGATCCAGCCATATGTTTTATTTCTTTTGAAGATCATAAAATTTCTATGTTCAGTTCTGGTTTTTAAAAAAATGTGCCAAAGTGTTTTTATTTTTATTTGTTAAAGGAGTGTATCCAAATGGTGCCAAAAGGTAATAGGGTATTTAAAAAATAAAAATAGAGATGTTTAGACAAACAGTTTGGAGCTGTCTAAAAAATTAAACACTGGTACTTGCGTTAGACAAATATTGTACCTCAGGTCCTTGAGTCCTTTGGAGATCAGTGAAACCCAGTTTGCTCTGGTACAGAATGCACAAATAGAGACCCAACTGTTTTTGTTTCTTAAAGTTCTACCTCACCATGGAGAAGTAAAGCATCTACCTCAATGTAGTATCAGACAGGTCTCAGAAGAAAGTGTTAGTCTGCATGCAGGGGAAGGGTACATCCTGCCTGTAGGATACGCATTTTTGTTTAAATGGAAATATTAGATGTGTACAAGTGGCTATTTTTTTGTTGTTGTTGCCTCCCTGTGGAAATATTAGGCTGCCCTTGCTAAAGAACTGTAAATAAAACCAAATATTCGTACACTCAGGCAAATTGATTCTAATCATCCTCCTGTAAGTTTGACTCATTTTCACTAGAAATTATGCAAACTGAAACTATTTTTTTTTCAGTATTATGACACTACTGGTTGACATGACATACTTTGTGTCTTTATTTGCAGAGTTCTTATGTCCTTAAGACCTTTAGGTCTTCTCTCTACAAGAGAAAAATATTTTATCTATTTTTGCATGCCTACAAATGTATCCTGTCAGAAAAGACTCTAAGGGTATAATTTCTTTAAACGCAATGCTATACCAAATGCTTGAAGGGAATGAGATTGATTCTTTGACTTGGTGATTGTATATGTAGTTTTCTTGATGCAACGGGATGTTTTCCACCATGACAGTGCAACCAAGTTCCTGTTCCTGGAAGGCAATTCAGACTGAATGTTCTTACCAGAGGCAGCCGTTGTGTTGGGTTTTTATTTGACTTTAATAGTGGCATTCAACAGACCCATTATTTTACATGTGGAGTAAAGTTTAGAGAAGCACATTATCAGATTACTGTATTAAAAATTCTTGTTTTTCTCCCCTAGTCATTGTTGAGTGACAAAAGTTAGAAGAGTGGGTACAGAAAACCACTAATGGTTATATGCTGTGTTGGGTTTGGTAAATGTTATGGTGGAAAATGTACCTTGATGTCTTTTTAAGTGATCTTACGGGTTAACAAGCCAATTTGGCATCTTTTTCCATCATGGTTTAACCAATAATGGTTCTAAAAAAGATTTGTGTACCTGCATGGTCTTAGACCTTCTCTTAATGATTGTATCAGCTTACAAACTCAGGTAGATATTTTTGTTTTAAAGCTCTTTTTACAGAGCCTTACTGACTGAATGTTACGTGTCTATGTAGTGAAGTAGGGTAGATACCTTTCTTTAAACTACCAGACCAGTAAACTCCTTTATAGGTTTGTAGAATACTTCTCAGTCTATGTAGTAGTTTCCTACTGATGTCTTGTTTCTGAGTTTTGCTTTTTTTTCCTCCTAAAATGACTAAAAAGTTTTTAACTAGTTTGTAAGGTGTGTTTAGTCACCCAAATTGGCGGGGGGAGGGGAGGGTTCTTACTGTATGTGACTATTGTTTGTATTGTGCATTACTTGTCATGCCTATCTTGGTTGGTGGTTGATGCATTTTAAGTAAAAAGAGTGAGGGCCCATACATACCATTTAATTTGGTCCTTTGTTGAGGCATAGTTTCAGTGAAATTGGAAACATCAAAAACAAATGGAAGCTCTATCCAATTAAGACCAATGTAACAAATTCTGTAGACAGTTTAAGTCCTCGCTTGATTTACTGTAGATACAAGCCCATCTTATAAAATGTAATTACAAAATTAGAAGTACTGTCATCTTGATATAGTTCAGCACAGTAATGCCATGAGCTTCGAGAATGATTCTGTCAGTTCTTGGAAGTTGTGCATCTTGAGTCAATTGCTCTTGTAGTTTCCTGTTCTGCTGGACTCTACTTTTCTATTTTAGTGATTAAGCATGCTGTTTTCCTAATAAGAAAAAGTGCTCAGTGGGACAGACATTGCTCTGAGCAGCTCATTAAAAACAGAGCATTTATAACTGTTAATGGAACAGGTCATGTCAAAAAAACCCTTCCATTAACACAACCCCCACCATCCAAAAAAGGGTTCACTTGTCTATTTAGACAAAAATTGCTGGGCTTTGTAACTTAAAATGTTACGTGCTGCAAAGAAGAAAGCATGACAGGTTATGGGCAAACTGTTATGTAGAACAAACTAACAATGTTAGAGAACTCTTGTGTTACTGGAGGCTTCTGAATGTATCTTTGTGGTCCATAGAGAAGGCTGAAGGATGTAGCAAGGAGATGATGTATCAGCTACTGGCAGCCTTAAAACAAAGTCAGTGTCTCTCTGGACTTTAAAATGTTCCTATGCAGTTTATTTTATTTTTGTTTAATCAAATAAATGTGAGTTTTTCATGGCAAGCTTGGGTCTCTTGTGTGTGTATATTATCCATTTAAAAAAACTTTGTTGCATCCTGTAAGAAAGGACAAAGCACATCTTGGAGAAAGTGAAACTGGTTCTCTGTAAACGATAAAGCTTCTAAAACAAAAATTGAGGAAGTGTATGTCGTGTTCTGAAAGACCAGAGGAATAAAGTATAGGAAATGTGAGACCTTTGTTGAAAATACACCAAATTCTCTTTCCCAATAATATGTAGGTAATGGTATTTTGTTGCAAGGCCAAAATGTTTTCAATTGAACAAACAGTTGGTTTTGCACCGTGCCTTTATAAATCAATATCACTTTTGTGAATGAAGGATGGTCTGTGGTTAAGGCATGGGCCTTGTGTCAAAATATATCTTCAGTTCTTCCAGAGAGTTCCTGTGTAGCCTTGGACAAGTCGATTAATTTTGGTGCCTCCATTTCTTCTTCAGTAAAATGTGGGTGATAACTGCTTTACCTCTCAGGGTGCTTAATTTGTTGTTTGTGAAGTATATTGGGAATCTTATGGCAGACACAAGTGCCAGGCAGCACAATTTAGCTTAAAGATCGCATAATAATTGGTCATGCAGGCAGCAGTCCTCTTTAGCTCACACAGCTTTGGATAAATGTTGAAAGAAAATATGGGGAGGGAGGTCTTCAATAGACATGGAGATGAGAGAATTAAGTGGGTGAGAGGATGCATAGTGTATGGGGGGGTGAAATCTAGAGCTTCCATTGTGATGTAAACAGCCGTTACCCAAGTTCCCTCTAAGCTGCGCAGTCGCGCAGCAGGCTATCAAGGGCTGCGCAGGTGGGGGGACAGGTGCCTCTCTCCTGGCCAAGGAACTACTGTGGCCAGGGAGAGGCACCCCTCCCCCGGCTACAGGCATGAGAGAGGGCTGGGGGAGTTTGCAGCCTGCATCCAAACCTTTCATCCCTGGCCCCACCGCCAGAGCCCTCACCCCCTGCATCCCAACCCTTTGCCCCAGCTCTGAGCCCCCTCCCACACTCCAAACCCCTCGGCCCCACTCCACATCACCTCCATATTGGTGCACATAACAAAATTCATTCCACACATGGACCTAAAAAATTAAGAGGGAACATTGGAAGTTACCACATAAGAACGGTCATACTGGGTCAGACCAAAGGTCCATTTAGCCCAGTATCCTGCCTTCTGACAGTGGCCAGTACCCAATGCTTCAGAGGGAATGAACTGAACGGGGCAATTATTGAGTGATTCAGGAGTAATCCTTTCGTCCAGTCCCAGCTTCCGGTAGTTAGAGGATTAGGGACACCTAGAGCATGGGGTTGTGTCCCTGACCATCTTGGCAAATAGCCATTGATGGACCTATCCTCCATGAACTTAGCTAATTCTCTTTTGAACTCAGTTATACTTCTGGCCTTCATAAAATCCCCTGGTAATGAGTTCTACAGATTGACTGTGCATTATGGGAAGAAGTACTTCCTTAGATTTGTTTTTAAACCTGTTGCAAATTAATTTCATTGGGTGACACCTAGTTTTTGTTATGTGAAGGAGTAAAGAACACTTCCTTATTCTTCACATCATTCATGATTGTATAGCGCTCTATCATATCCCCTCTTCATAGTCTCTTTTCCAAGCTGTACAATCCCAGTCTTTTTAATCTCTGCTCAGATGGAAGCTGTTTCATACCCCTAATAATTTTTGTTGCCTTTCTCTTTACTTTTTCCAATACTAACATCCTTTTAGAGACAGGGTGACCAGATCTGCACACAGTATTCAAAAAGTGGGTGTGACATTCCCCTCTGGTGTTATCTGGACCAGTGATCTGCTAGGGCACTCCAATCCTTGACTCTGGGAGCCAGCCTTACCCTGCTCTGCTGTGAGAACCCCCACACTTGGGCTGTTCACACACAGCCTCCGGCATGTAAGCTGCTCCTTGGATTGTGCAACCGAATGACACTAGCCAATATCTCCGGTCCCAGACACAACCCTAGGAACCTCTGTCTTGCAGTGTCCAGTTATGCCCACTGGACACTGCAAGCTTATATGAGTTCGTCACTTTAACAAATAAATTGATATGTACCAGGCTTGTTATCCCAAGGAGAGTCTCTGACATGCTTCAAACCAAACGCACTGCTTCAGGTAGAATAAACAGATTTATTAACTACAAAGATCGATTTTTAAGTGATTATAAGTCAAAGCAAAACAAGTCAGATTTGGTCAAATGAAAAAGCAAAACGCATTCTAAGCTGATCTTAACACTTTCAATGCCCTTACAAACTTAGATGCTTCTCACCACAGGCTGATTGGTTGTCCTTCAGCCGGGCTCTCCCCTTTGATCAGTGTGAGAGTCACTAGGTGTGGTGTCTGTAGATGGAGGTGGAAAAGAGGAAGAGCCTGGCAAACGTCTCTCCCTTTTATCATGCTCTTTCTTCCCTCTTGGCTCTGAAAATTCCCACCTTACCTCAAATATTCTGAAGTTGACTTGGACCCCTCAGCGCAGCAATCCTTTCCTTGGACTCTCTTGCAACCCACAATGACTCAGACCACTGCTTTTGCAGTAAACTAGAAATGGTGAGGGGCTGAGGCACTTGAGTGGATGCTAGTGGTCTGAGATGCACTAGCCAGTGACTAGTCTGTTAGCGACCCTATATTAGTTAATGCTTTAAAGCAGGGGTCTCCAAACTTTGAGACGAGGGCCATATTAGATTTTTGAAGGGGCTTTGCGGGCCGAAGCGACTGTGAAAGAAATTAAATATATGCAAAATTATTAAAAAAACAACACTACTCTACTGTGTCAGTGTTGCATTAAACTCTAAATGAGGTATAAAAGTTAATCGATGCAGGTACTGTGAAATCACACAATATTTGTCAATACGTTAAAAATCATTTCACATTTTTTAAATTTTATTTCTAAAAACTCACATTTGTATCATACAAATACTGTTTGGTTCTATTAGTGATGTAGTTAAAATTAAACCATTATGAAATTGTTAATTTCCATCTTCTTTACGCCATTTATTGGAGATGTAATTAAGCATCTGGTTTATATTTTTACTCTAAGGCAGGGGTCCGTGCCTGCTCGGCTGCAGCAACGACTCTCCCCTAAGTTGGCTCCCCTTTTGGGGGGACACTGGCTCCCAGAGGCACTCACCCCTCTGCACAGCTCAGCTGTGCTGCTGCCCTGTGTGAGCTGCTGCTGGCAGCCCCTCCCTCTGCCTGCTCGTGCCTACTCAGCTGTTAGCTTCTCCCCTGTTGGTTAGAGAGCTGGACAAATGGAAGCCCCGGGCCGTAGTTTGGAGACCCCTGCTTTAAGGCCTTGTCTATTCTAGGCACTTTTGTCAAAAACTTCCCACCGCTGCTACCACCAGTTTAGTTCCACCACTGTTCGCAACTATGGAAGGACTAGTATAGAGTAGAACGCCAATGGCCACTGCTGTTTTAAGGACCTTGTGGCTTTGATTTCTCTGAGATCTGGTAGGTGGTGGACAATAAAAACACTGGTGGCCAACTGTAGCTGTCTACACCAGACATCACTGGAGCTGAAATGCTGGAAGCCCTCTGTGCCATCATAGCACTTGAGGTACGTTGATTTGAAACCATTGACTGTTCCCCAAAACCCAAGCAGAGGGCCTTCGCCAGCAGGGGGCTGCAAGGAGAGGGTGAAGGAGTGATCATTTCAGAGTAGCTCTCTGGATGAGGCAAAAGACTTGCTTCCTTTCTTTAGTACATGTATTTACTGCTGTGAGGGAAGTGATAAGATTGAATCCTGCACTACTGACTTGAATGGGAGCAGGATCAAGCCCTTACTGAGTGACAACTTTGTTGGTTATAGGATCTGTGTGACTGATGTCCCCACATCCCATTCTTGGTCTTGAATCCTGGAGCATTTGCTACTGAATCTTACAAATAACCATTTATTACATTGGTTAAATTAAATTCTCTTCCAAATTCTTTCAGAGCTTTAGCTGGACCAGGGGACCCAACAGCCTCCTTGTCTGCCTGCCTCTTGAAGCACTTTGGTAAAGAGACTAAAATAATGAGGGGAAAGTAGGTGTTGGGAAGCAAGACTAGAGAGGAGGGATACTGATCAGGAGATGTCATGTGACTATTAAGGAGGAACAGGACAGCTTCAGCTTTCTGGAACTGGCTAGTCAGTCAGTGTTACGGTAAAACTAGGAAAAAAATTATAAAATGGATATGTTTAAATATTAGAGCTGTCAAGCGATTAAAAAAATCAATCGTGATTAATCATGAATACCATTTATTTAAATACTTTGGATGTTTTCTACATTTTCAAATATATTGATTTCAATTACAACACAGAATATGAAGTGTACAGTGCTCACTTTTTTTAATTACAAGTGTTTGCACTGTAAAAAGAAGAAATAGTATTTTTCAATTCACCTAATACAAGTACTATAGTGCAATCTCTTTATCATGAAAGGTGAATTTACAAATATAGAATTATGTACAATAAAACTGCATTCAAAAATAAAACTATGTAAAACTTTAGAGCCTACAAGTCCACTGAGTCCTACTTCTTGTTCAGCCAATTGCTCAGACAAACAAGTTTGTTTACATTTGCAGGAGATAATGCTGCTCGCTTCTTGTTTACAATGTCACCTGAAAGTGAGAACAGGGGTTCCCATGGCCCTGTTGTAGCGGGGGTCGCAAGATATGAATCTTTAGCGCATCTGGCACGTAAATATGTCCCTTCATGCTTCAATCACCATTCCAGAGGACATGTCCATGCTGATGGGTTCTGCTTGAAAACCATCCAAAGCAATGCGGACCGACATGTTCATTTTCATTATCTGAGTCAGATGCCACCAGCAGAAGGTTGATTTTCTTTTTTGGTGGTTCGGGTTCTGTAGTTTCCACATCGGAGTGTTGCTCTTTTAAG